GCAAACTAGTAGAGTCTGTGGCTGTTATAATAAGAAGTTTATTGCAAATTCATGCCCGGAGGCTAATTGCAAATTACAAACTAACATAGAAGAACAATGAAACAGAGTATAAAATAACAATCTACATAATGAAAGGTAGCTGTCTAAATCTACAGCAATGTCTAAAACTGTGTCAGACTCAGAATGTTGTTTGATGTTTGATGTTTTATTAGATATCCATTAGATTAGATAACAAATCTAATCTATTCTTCCTGGATTCACAAACAGTACACAAATGTAATACAAATTAAGGCACAAAACATAACATAACATAACACTTGCATCCATTGGACTACAACTAGCATAAAACTACAAAGCAATAGTCAATAACAACTACAAAGCAGCACGACATTACCAGATCGCTTTTGGGAGGTCAGAGGTCTCATCCAATGATAATATATACAGCTTCTTGCTTGTGAAGTATCTTACCACCAGTGCTTTAAGGGTTTGTATGTATCAGTCTTGTGAGTTATCATGTCGTTTATGATGTTCTTGAACAGTGTTGGTGTGGCTGACCTGGCGTGTGGTGTAAGGTTGTTGTGAGATTTTGTACATCTATACACGAATGTTCTTTCCATTGCGGTTGTCTTAGGTTTAGGCAGTCTTAAGCCACCTCCTGTCGCAAGTCGGGTGCTATGGCCATGAGAATTATCTATTCGTTGTAACCTGTCGTAGATCGCTTCTGGTTTTTCAGCTACCAAAATTTTATTGAACATCATTAGCGTGTTTTTGTATAGTCTTCCTTTCACTGATAGCCAGTTCAACCTTTCATGCATAGTGTTCGTGTTACAGTTGTACTTTTCATCTAACACCAGTCTAGCTGCTCTGTTTTGGAGAATTTGTAATTTGTCGAGTTTTGATTGTGATCCTGCAGACAGTAAACACGAGCAGTAGTCCATGTGACCAAGCACCAGTGACTGCACCACTATCTTTAAAGTTGAGCTAGTGAGGAAGTCTTTTGATCTCTTGAGAGATGCCAACGCACCTGACATTTTGGACCTAACTTTATCAAGTTGTAGATCCCAGGATAACTGTTGGTCCATCAAAACGCCAAGCAGTTTTGCCTGTTCTACTTGTTCTATTGTTTGATTGCCCATGGTGAGATGTAGATTTGTGTTTTGTTTCAGTTTGTGGCGGCTACCTAACACAATGGTCTTGGTTTTGCCCACGTTTAGAACAAGTCTATTTGCTTCTACCCAATTCCATACATGCGTCAAATCAGACTGTAGTTTGCGCTGTATTGCTGCTACACTTGGACCTGACGCAGAAGGAGTTGTGTCGTCGGCATACATCACTATGTCTGAATGTGTCACTACTGTAGGGAGATCATTAGTATAAATACAGAAGAGTAAAGGGCCTAAGCAGCTTCCTTGAGGAACGCCGCTCTTGCACTCTTTGTGTGACGATAAACTTCCATTTACAAACACAGTCTGACGATAAACTTCCATTTACAAACACAGTCTGGGTTCTGTTAGTCAAGTAGCTTCTGAGCCAACCGAGAGCAGGTTCTACAAATCCATAACATTTTAATTTAGCCAGTAAGATATCATGATTAACAACGTCAAATGCGGCGCTGAAATCCAGAAGAACGGCACCCACTAGATTGCCTTTGTCGATTTCCTCCAGCCATCTATCTGACATCTGAACTAAAGCACTTGATGTAGAGTGATACTGTTTATATGCGTGCTGGCTGTGGGATAGAATGTCGTTGGAGGTAAGGTAAGTATGAATTTGGTGATTACATATCTTCTCCATCAGTTTACTTATTGCGGGTAAGAGGCTGATAGGACGGCTATTTGGTCCATCCAGTGGCTGAGTTTTGTTTTTTATGAGAGGGATGATCTTAGCCTGTTTCCACTGAGTAGGAAATATTCCCTGTCTGAATGAAGAATTGAAAATGTGGCACAGAGGTCCTGATATGTAGTCTGCAGAGATTCTTAGTAACGTGTTGTCGATAGTATCAATTCCTGTGGATTTACTAGATGGAAGAGAGTGAAGTAACTTTTGGACTTGGCTCACTGTTACTTCTTGAAAAGAAAAGGCACAGTTCTTGGATGCCATGATTTTGTCCTTAATCGGTGCTGTTATACCGTCTAGGTCTATGTCACCTCCCTGTGTGAGACCATCCACTTTATTAATGAAATATTCATTGAAGTATTCAGCTATTTCAGTTGGTTTTGTGTATATTCTTCCATCTGTCTCTATGACAGTTAGGGTTTTGCGTGTGTTTCTACCAAGTATACCGTTGATAACAGCCCAAAGCTGCTTAGTGTTCCCGTCCTTACAATGTGATTCAATCAATTCTTTGCCAAATTTAAATCACGGTGTGCTCATTTCTTGGTTTCTTGCTCCAGCTCATCCTCCAGCGCCCCCAACATGCGCTTCAGGTACTGCAGGCCATTGTTGATCTCTTGCTTGATATCTTGGCCACGTTTCTGTTGGGCTGTGGAAACAACAACAAAAAAAAAGGTTATGGAATGAAAATGTTACCAAAAATGCATGTGGTTGAAGTGTTGATAGGGATGACTTTTACTTCGGGGTACAGCAGTATTGTTTGGGGTGACTTGGTTTCTCTCTGACTGTCCTACTTACTTCAGTTGTATGGTGGGTGGGAGGTGATTTTGACAAATGATTGATGGTGTTCTGGGTGGGAGTAAGTTGCTGTTGTATGGAGGAATTCAGGAAGTGGTATAATAATACCCAAATAGATTTCATGAAAAGTAACATCTGTAAACTTGCATGTCACCCCCCCCCCTCCCAATAAAAAAAATTCCCAACAGTCAAAGCATTTAAAAGGTGCTGGTCAGCAATCTTCGGTTGACTTTGTATGACTGCTCATTTTATTTTTGGGAATTCTGTTTCAGTGGACAGACAGTATGTTTAGTGTATGATTTGCTAGCATCTTCCAGTGGACACAGTGTGTGTTTAGTACATGATTCAGCAGACTGAGAGAGTAATACTATGTTGATGTACATGTAATGCATTATATGGTATATAGTCCATCTGACTGAGTTCATGGAGAGTAACAACAAAAACTATGGTATGGATAATTACATATGTTTGACAACCAAATGCACAGTAGGAGATATTCCTACCTTGGCAGACGGCGTCCAACACTTTATCCCTGATGCTGTCCATAGCATCAAACTGCTCCACTGTGGCCACAAACTTGCCTCCTGAGGCAATGTCCTATAGAGTTACAACACAGTTCATAATAGACGTATAGTAAGTGTTTTAATTCTTTACGGTGCTACAGTCACTGTCATACATGTAGATTTCAACATAAGTGCAGTAAAATTATCCTACAAAAACTCGGGAAACATGAAAAGAGTCAAACACAGTTTGGCCGAAAAAAGGGAAAAGCTTTAATTTGCGACTTTTCCGAAACAAACAACAACGTCATAACTATATTTGTAAAACGGCTCACTAAGTAAGACTTAATAATAAAGAAGGCGGAGAAAGGGGTGGTGGTGGGTGAAGAGACAAAACAAAAGAACGACCGGCACCCGCATACCGTCAAGTCGAATGGCGTATCACGTGTTCGTATCAAAGGTTACGGGCAGAAACAAAAGAAATAGGGGTTTTCTAGACAATTAACAAAAATTACCAGGTCAATTTTTCCCACATTATTGGTTTGGTGTCTCCAATAAACAGGTAACGATCCCGGATTCACAAAAAAACTGTTACTCAAGAAAACAAAAGGATAGGTTGCTAGAGTATCAGTTTCTTGCGTATCTTATCGGGCCACAACAAGTAATTTCGATGGATGATATCAGTGCATTAATTTTCGCCTGAATTTGGAAAAAAAAAAAATTTTTATTGCCCTCTGACAGTGGTCAACTTGCCAAAAATGGGCAAATATGTTGTAAAGGCCTGTCGGTTCAGATACCATCAGGGATCCAGCAAACTTGAGGAACAATGGTTCATGTTTGATTGCAAATGTTGACACTGACGTTCCATTGCATCCAAACCAACCTAGTATAGTAGCTGCCCATGATGGTACGGATAGCCGTTTTGCTAGAATTTCTAGTTAAGGCCACACCGATTTAATTTCTTGGTTTACGGATTTGCCCTGTTCATTTTTCTCTGATTTGCAAATAAAAATAAAAATTCAGAATCAAATGCAAAATGCTCAATATTTTGCCCTGAACAGTTGAAAACAGTCCTTTTCATACTAGTTCTTACAGTTATTCCATCTTTCAATGCTATGGTATCATTAAAAGTTCAAAATTCATTGTAAATTTTGAACCAGTCTCTGGTGTGTTGCACTTCATGGCTCCTATTGTACCATTTTGGGCCATAATAGGATGCCTAGGCCTGTTTTTATTTTATTTTTTTTTCGCCCTCCCGCTCCATTATTTTTCTAGAAAAATCCGTTAACCAAGAAATTAAATTGTTGTGGCCTAAGTGCAGTAACATTATTGGTTTGGTGTCTCCAATAAACAGGTAACAGTCCGGATACACAAAAAAACTGTTACTCAAGCAAGCAACAGGTCGGGATGATGCTAGAGTATCAGTTTCTTGCGTATCTTATCGGGCCACAACAAGTAATTTGGATGGATGACATCAGTGTGTGCATTAATTTTCGCCTGATTTTGGAAAAAAAATTTATTGCCCTCTGACAGTGGTCAACTTGCCGAAAATGGGCAATTATGTTGTAAAGGCCTGTCGGTTCAGAGACCATCAGGGATCCAGCAAACTTGAGGAACAATGGTTCATGTTTGATCGCAAATGTTGACACTGACGACGTTCCATCACATCCAATCCAACCTAGTATAGTAGCTGCCCATGATGGTACGGATTGTCGTTTTGCTAGAATTTCTAGTTAATTGAGGTCTTTACACATCTTTCTACATGTACAAGGAAAGGTAATACTGTTGAATACAAATTAGAATGTAACATCCGCGTCCATAATATCACCAGGGTCCATAATATTGCCACCTTGAGAAATAGTGTGCTTAAAGATATTTTTACTGCAACATACCCTAGGTATGTACATTTGATGTGAGAAGGAGTGCATACCAAAAGTATGTTGCAGTAAAAATATCTTTAAGCACACTGTTTCTCAAGGTGGCGATATTATGGACCCTGGTGATATTATGGACACGGATGTTAATATCTTTTTGGTCATGTTTTGTCACCTCAATTCTTGTTTAACAAGGCTCATGACCTCAAAATTTGAAAATGAAAATTTTTGAAAATGAAATTTTTTGCCCGTCTTGTTTTTTTTGCCCTATCACTTTAGATTTGGAGTCTGTGGAGGATGTCATCTATAAAATTTACTTGCTGTGGCCTTATAGATGGATGTCTAACTCTAACCTTCATCAACAATCCCTTGATACACTTACATCAATGGAATGGACATGTCCTTGGTGCTGAAACCACTATCGTTTCAATATGTGAAGCCGTTGTGGTACGCTTACTTTCCTTTTGCCCCTTTTATCATGCAACTTAGCTTCTGTATCTGTATCGATATAGCCGGTATAACCGCCCTTCGGCGCAACACACCAGCTTCGCAGGCACGCGGCACGGCGGCAGCTAGCTATATGACACCGAACGACTTGTTACACTCAATCTTTGCACATTTAATTGCAGGAGTTGTTTAAAGCTTTCTAGTGATGATGCCCCAACTGTGCTTGGTGGTAACGAGTTCCAGTCTACGATAGTTCTGGGGAAATACAAGTTTTTGTACACCTCAATTCTTGGTTGATAACTCTGATATTTGAAGGCATGACTGTTTCTTGTTCTTTTCTGGGCTGGAATAAAGCCAATGTCACACAGAAAAAAATAGCCTGCCTGACAAATTTGTGAGGTTTTAAAGGAGACTTTTGGCAGCAATACGGCCAGTGTCCTCTCGACCACTGTGCAATTTTTCAGGGATTGGCCGGTGTTTCCAGGTTCACCAAGCCACGTCCAATATTATAGTGGTAGGTTAAGAAGCCACACAGGCGAAACCGGTCGTGTGACAGGCTGAATAAAAGTTCTAAACGGGAACTATGCGGCTCCAGATGTCTTACTGAGGGACGACTGCGTGTGCGAGATGTCGGTAGCTTGAGGAATGAATCCCCCTACTATATACAATATGATAGTGGTAGGTTAGATTTTCAAGGAAAAAATATGCTTGACTCTCTGACTATTTTGAAATTTGGCAACCTTCTGGTACTTAACAAATTTGCCCGAAGGTGAACGACAATGTGACGCTTGCTTAAAGGCATTCTATTCAATTTCAGGGCTGCAAAATTAGAAAATATTCTGGGTGAGGAAATCTGTCTGATATTGACATTTACTGTCATTCTTGGCACATATTTGTCATTTTTGTCATCATTTCATACGTAAAGCATTTGAAATAGCCCCCAAACAAGGTTAGGTATCTCTTTATTTTTTTGGTATCACCCTTGAATATCTAGAACTAGCCTACAATTCAAAACAAGCAGCCATTTTCCATCAGCAACATAGCATTTTTGCCTCACAGGTATGCGATAGGACTGATTCATTTGCTTACTACAAGCATTGAAGGAATAGCCAAAAAGTTGACTCTGAAAATCTTGTTTTGCAGCCCAGAAATTGTATTAGATGATTGGGTACATGTAACTTGTCTGAAGGAACTCAAAGACATCCAGTGTAGTTTTTAGGACTTGGAAACCCAATTTTTTAAAGTCAATATTCTAGTCACTTATCTACATACTAGAGTTGAAACCACGCTATCCCAATGTATATTGACCCTCATGGAGCAAAAATACCCAAAATTCTGACAGAAAATGGTTACTAGAAGGGCCCTTGGCTGATTTTCAGGGTACCACCCATAAAATAAAGGACTCAGTCTGACTCATCTTGGGGCGTGTTTCTTCAGTTTTAAATACCCAAAGTATGAAATACTGATTGAAATGTGCTAATGTGAAGCAGTGTGTGTCAATGTTGTAAAGATTTCTTTATTCAGAATATTTCCAGTTTTGCTGCTCTGAAATCACATTGAATGCCTGCTCTGAAAGCACATGCTTAATAATCTGATGTTTTCTTACATTGAGCTGCTGCAGGTTGTAGTTGGCCACCCCTACAGCAGAGATGAGCACACCTTGCTTCCTGATGTTCTCTGACGGCAGATGAACAATATCACTGGCCTGGCCATCAGTAATGAGGATGATCACCTGCAGCAACAAAGGTCACTCATCAGCATGAAAGTTCATCTGAGTTGGTAAATTACATTATGAAAAACTTTTCTCCAACTCAAAATTTGACTCACCAGAAATTTTGGATACCGAACAGGATTACTTCAAGAGAGGCATAAAAGAGGCCATATACATCAGGGCACTTCAACCATCGCTCAACCGGGACGGGGGACTATATCGACTTCAGACAACCTTTGACCCTTTGCTGACGTCACACGTGGGAAAAATCACGTGTCCACAGCATTTGGGTCAGATAGCTGAGGAAGACTGAGTGATTCAGTCGAAAATTTCTGGTGAGTCAAATTTTGAGTTGGAGAAAAGTTTAAGTTTTTCATTTTAAGGTCACTCATCATTTATCCAAAGGTTGCACTAAATTAATTTGTATTTATTGGCAATATATAGTATATGTTCACCAGCTTCATTTTATTTCTGATTAGGCCATACCAATTAAATTTGTTGCTTCTCGGATCGCCCTATCCATTTTTTTTTCAGTTGCAAAAATAATTTATAAAAACTTTTTATTCTAAATTAACTGCAAAATGCTGAATAAAAGACATATTTTGACCCCAATGGTTGAAGTTCTTTTCTTCCAAGTTCTTAAAGTTTTCATGGTTACCGTAACAATGCAATTTTGTTTAATTAAAAGTGCAAAATCTATTGTTTTAATTATAAACCAGCCTGGTATGTTCACTTCATGGCTCATATTGTAACATTTCTGGCTATCATGGGGTGCCTTGGCCTGTTTTTTTTTGCCCAGTCGCTCCATATTTTTTCTGAAGAAATCCAAGAAACAACAAATTAAAATTTGTTGAAATATATAAAACTTCACAGAGGATTGTCGCCTATGGCTTCTTGTTTGTATTTTGTATGCCCAGCACTACCTGAAAAGCAGATTTTTAAATGTAACCTGAGTGTATTTTGCTGGTAAAATAAATGAAATGAAGTTATATAGGACTATAATATCCTTACTTTCTGCACACCGGCTCGTGCCCCATTAGCTGTGGTGAAGTCCTGGTGAACCTGTGTCAGTGCTCGACCGGTAAGTGTGCCCATTCCATTCAGGAAGGTAATCTTTTTGATGCCATCCAGCAAGTCCTACATGTACACGTACAGGGAAACAGCAAATGTGTCAGATAAACTATTTCAGAATGGGGTCATCATCATCATCATTGGTCAACCATATTGGTTTAGGTTATACTTAAGGGTTAATGACCAACCCCGAGGTGAATATGGTGCGCTCACTTGGTGGCTTTATTCTGTGGTAACCGTTATAGCAACTGACAAGGCTTTATCACACCATATTCACCGAGAAAGGGCGAGACATTAACGCTATTATCATATACATGTAGCTTACACGATAGCCTATCCAAACTGATGCAGTAAGTGACACAATGCACATGCTGAATAGAACATAGAACATAGTTCCATCTGGAGTCACCTGAGGTCACTGGGTAGAGTTCAGTTAACTGGGTTACAGGCAGGGAACAGGTGTTCTTATGGGAGTCACCGGAGGTCAATTTGGAACACAACTTAAGTTATTTTTGGATTTTTTAGAACTAGAGCCGTGTTCTATTGGGTCACCTGAGGTCATATGCGGGTGATTATTGGGTTTTTAATGTATGGATTGGGATGAATAAATACCCGATCTATTTGTGATATTACGGCGTCATAAGGAATATGGAATGGAGCCTTCTGATTGGTCAACGTCACCTGGCTATATGATAATGCCACTTATATCATACCCAGGATGTAATAACCTTCGATAATGGTGTTCCGGACCGGAGCATACTTTACGGTACGGCCAGGTCTTCTATAGCTTCTATAGAATAATTTGAAGGTGTTTCACCCTAACCGTGTGCGCTGCTTTCGAAAATTTGATCCGGTGGTCGGGCTGGTACATAGGGTGATACGGAATACACCATGTTGTAATCTATATTTATGGGGGAGATGGCTGTACGATTTTGCTATAGGAAGTTCTGCTTGCTATGTGGATCCCTGGGTACTTAATTGTGTTTACTGGTAAGGCAACACCGATTTCATTTTCTGGATGACATCTGCGTGCGCATTGATTTTCGCCTGTTCTCAAAAAAGAAGAAAAAAGATCACGTCCTCCGAGGCTATGGCCTGACTCTAGGCCTGGGTAGTCCATGGTAGCTAGCGACAATACGGAGGTGGTAACTCCGGAGGATGGCACCCAGGCTACGGAAGCTCCACGACTCAGTACATACATACAGCGCCGATTCATAAATTCCACAAAAAGCCAGCATGTGCCGGCTTGTCGTAAATGTTGCTATGTACTGCCGTAAATTCACAATACATGTACCAGCTTTGTATATATTCCTATGGTTTAGTAGTATTTTTATTTTTGGCTGGAGTTTTTTTTATTCGCCGGCGCGCACTAGTTTGGGGGTCTTCAGAAGATGTCATCTATAAAATTAACTTGGTGTGGCCTTATGTAGAACAAACAGTCACCTCCCGAGCACGTCAGCAGGATGCACTGCACCTGCGCGAAACCCGTAATGTATTGTACATAGCACTTCGGCAGAACGTCTCATATAAGGTCGTATTCACGCATATAAGGTTAACATCCCATATCCTTTGCAACAGGCAAAATTCTGATGCAACGTTGATCAAAAATCCACCGAAAATCGTGAAAATAAAGGGTTCTGCGCAGACGCAGTACGTTCTGCCCACGTGCTCACCTCCCGGTTGTTGAACTGGTTCAGCCCGATCTCCTTCTGCACCCTGATGGCGTACTGGTACACGCCCAGCTGGGCAGCGCCGGCGCCGATCCTGAAGCCTGCTGCCAGGCTCAGGACAAAGTTACGCACATCTGGGAAGTTCCTCCTCCCCACGCTAGCCGATCCGTCCATCAGCACCATGATGTCCACCTTTTCATCACAGGTGGGCTCTTCCATAGTGGGCAATAGAATGTAGAGAGTGAGGTTTAAAAATGATTAAAAAAAAACAACATTTGCAATATGCAAAGTCTTTTCTCACTTCGAAGCCAGACTTCAAATCATGACAGACAACGGAGCGACCAAGAATCATGTTTTGGCGGAACATATGTTTAATTCACAAACCAGCAGAATACAATCATATTCATAGATGAACAGAGCAGGGAAACTCAGAGCTTCTGTAAACATAAGTAAACAAATGGTATCGCAGCGCAACTCTTTTTAGAGTTCGGCGCTGTCAATTTCAGATTTTACACACGTACATACATGGGGCGGATAACTTACTAGAGAGACAATTTTTGTACAATTTTAGCCGAGTCTAGCACTGAAGTCTAGCACTGAAATTATATTTAGCTTTTCTGCTGATTTGAAGGTGGTAAAAAGAAGGTGGTAAAAAGTAAAGGTCCCACAGCCTCTGAGGTCCTATATATATATATATATAATGGCAGTAGGTTGTTAATCCACTGTGTCAGGTTCCCATTGGAAGTGAGAAAAGTCAAGTAAAGTGTCTTTCTCAAGGATACAACATCTAATAGGGAATGCATGGAATTGCACCTGTGATCTCTATCCTATCCTGTGTCCACTAGTCTAACCACTCAGCCATTTGATTCCTTAATTCCTTTAATTCCTTAACTCAATGAACTATCCAAACAGCAAGCCCGATTCAACATCAGCCACACACATATAATTTATACCAATTTTACTAAACTTACAGACCAAGAAAAAACTATTCTTCTTTTAACTTGTTCCCAAAACCCACTAATTTTAGAAAAGGTTGGACATTACGTCTTCCATGGTCTAGAAAAGAGAAGTCAAGCCCCTTAGACATAGTTTTAGACATAGCTATAGCTCTAGACAACTACCTTTTATCATGTAGATTTTAGTTATTTTATACTACGTTTCATTGTTCTTTTATGTTAACTTTGTAATCTGCAATTAGCCCCCCGGGCATGAATTTGCAATAAACTTCATTTATTATAATTGTCCCAAATCTTTATCATCATCCCAAATGTTAAATTTTCCCAAAGAAACAAACTGAGACTTTCAATCAACATAAAACTATAATTATCATTGACAGTATTGCACTAAGTACAGTTTCAACATACATGTACATTACCAGGAATATTAACTCATGAAAGAATGCTGACTTACGTGGAATTTTAGCTTGAGGTTCAGGACAATTTTCACCAGCCAGAACCTGCTTGTTGTTACCATCTGTGAACAGTAACAATTAATAGTGATTCATGTTTTGTTGTGACTGTTCATACAACTGCTGTTACCCTTAAGTATACTTGAAGGTAATTCCTGCATCAAAGGTTCTTCCTGCAGGAAGAAATTTTCAAGATGAATATTCTTTACTATAACAGTTATCATCATTCATACTATTAGTACAATGTAAGTAAATGTGCATCATACATGTCAATTATACTGACATAACAGGGGTGTCAGAACATAGGAGAGTCAGAAGTTCTCAGAAACTTGCTTGAGGGGACCTTGAGCGCCGTAGGCACGAGGCAAGTGCTGAAGGCGCGAGGTTCCTAGGGGGGGGGCCTTCTAAAATGGTATTTCGTGCATTTTTAAGAGGATTTCCAAGAAAAAAATCAGATAAATTTTTATTCAATGACGAAGGGAGCAGTTTTTCTACAATTCCAGTCCATCTTTTCAAGAAAAATCTTGGGCCTTTACATAAAAAGTGGACCTTAAACATAAAAAGTGGACCTTTACATAAAAAGTGGACCTTTACATAAAAAGTGGACCTTTACATAAAAAGTGGACCAAAAAGTGGACCTTTGAGTCTTGTGGGGGGGTTCTTCCGAACCCGCCGAACCCCCCTGGCTACGGGCATGAGAGGGGTGTAGGGGTGTAACCACTGTCAATCACTGTCTTCACCCTTTGGAAAGCAGGAACCTCAGTCTGGTTATTGTACATTGACAAGAAGAAATTCAGATCAAAATGTTGTAATCTTACAATGTTTCTTTCTGTAATGCTTATGACAGAACTCACTAACACTGTCACTCAGAAGTGACCATGCATCAGTGAAAAGACAGCTAAATTTTGGATAACACATATTACTAATATTATACATGACAGTCCCTAAAATACCTTAATTTGCTGTTGTATTAGACATGTCATGTTAATGTGCCCAGGCCTTTTGTAATGAGGAGATACGTAAATTGTGAAATACTTGCGCTTGGTTTTATTTTTGTGGTGTTTTTTTTTTGTTGACCTCTAATTGCAAAATCATTAGAATTTTTTATTTTTGCTATACAAATATGCGCTTGTTATTTCTGTTGTACTACAGAAATGTTTCAACTGTGAACTGCAAATAAGTGGTGCAAAAACCTTGTTACGTCCAGCCACAAAATAAAACCACCACAATAAAAAAGCTATCTGTCACCAAAAAGTCAAGACCATAGCTTGTTCAGGACAAAAGATACAAAAACCGGAAGTTCTGCTGCAGTACCAAGGTTATCCACCAGGAGGCCCATATTTGACCTTGACCTTTGTCTATCTAAGACTTATCAACATACCAAATATCATCATAATCCATAAAGGCGTTATGAAGTTATGCTGACTACAAATGTGCGGAAACACAAACACACACACAGACAGACACACACACACACACACACACACACACACACACAGACAAAAACAATACATGTACCTCCATTTTTCATGGAGATAATAAATGCATTCAAAGCTCCAGTACCTTTGTGACAAACGTTGCAGCTCTCCCGACACTTGATCAGCATGTAGCGGGGGGTTCGTTCTGGCACTCTCCGACACAGGCCCAGTAGGCGCAGCGAGTATTGAGATCCTTACAGGTGCCTAGAATGTATACAGATTATTGGTCAAACATTACCCAATGATGCAATCCCAGCCTTTTATAGGTTGAATTGATGCAGGCTTTACAACCACATAAAACACATGATCCATGTACAGTAACATATTTTTTATCAGGTATGTGCAAAATTGCACATTGGCAAAAATTTACGTGCAATTTGACAACTTTTTGTGCAAAATTATATTAGGTCGGTCTGCAACTGTTTTCCAGCTGATTTGAAAGTGGTGCACAATTTCTTGTCCAGGTGGCTCAAGCCCCGGTCACAACCCGCCGTGTGTGCTTTTTGTCCGTACGTTTTTTTTTTAGGCCACGTCTGCTACGTTTTTCTGAAAACGTGGGGAAGGAGTGGCGTCGACGCACGTCACTCGCACGGTTGCGCTAGGTGTAAGAGTGGGGTTTGCACGCCACGTCTGGCCGTGAGCACTTGCGTGCATCGTTCGTGGTGCAAGTGGTGAGTTGTACGTGCTTACAACGTACGATCTCTGTGCGATTGCAACTTTATCGTAAGGAGGCCGTACCCACACGTGTTTCTTCCGTACGACACGTACAGGGCAGGCGCGTCGCTCGTACTCGCACGTACGGGTGGTGAATCCGCAGACCACAGGTAGAAAAAGTTTTAAATGCACTTAAAGTTCTATGGCGTGTCTGCGTGCTCCAAAATTCGTAGGATTCTGTACGGAGGCAGTACTCACCACGCACGGATGCCCTGCGTTTGCCCACGTTTTTGCACGTAGACAGCACGCAGAAGCACGTACGGCGGGTTGTGACCGAGGCTTCACTGGAAGGATCCTGCAAAAGTTATGTTAGCCTACAATGAATTAAACTGACCTTCCTAGTTTGTGCTATTTGCATGATGTTGCAACCTCCAAGAAAAAAAACTAGCAAAGCTTTCAAACAAGAAAAAAAATATCAAAAGAAAAATTGTTGTCTTCCTCGGCATTAGCTTAATAGCTTTCCATGTTTCTCGGCATTAGCTTTGTCTTTCTTGGCATTAGCTTAATAGCTTTGAAATGTTTTAACTGGGAAACTGCAAGCACTGCAAAAAACTCTTGTTCCGTCCTGCCACAAAATAAATTCACCACAATAGTAAATGCATTTACAGTTCCTGTACCTTTGCAAACATTGCAGCTCTTGCGACAGTTGGCCAACATATATTTGGGATTCTTCTCACACTCTCCGTTCTGGGCCCAGTTGGGGCAGCGATTATCGAGATCCTTACAGCTTCCGTTGCCTAGGCCTTGCATTGAGCGACACCATTAAAAACAAGAGTTCCACGATCTCATACCTTCGCCAAATGATGTTAACCCTTGCGGTTGAAGAATTATACAATTTTAATAATTGATTTTGCAAATAAGATCCTCATTTGCATGGGTTATATCAGTTGATCATATTCTCCACCCAATGACAGTCTTATCTTAACAAAAAGGCTATTATAGCACTTCCTCATAAATTATGCAAATGAGGTCATGATTTGAATAAATTATGTTTATTGATGTTCGCCTTCACTTAGCTTCCAAATGTGGCAAGTATGATATTCCCAGCAGTTACAACTATAAAATTATAAAGATTTTCCATTAATTATGCAAATTAGGTCTTCATTTACATAATCTATATCCTCAGATTTTTTTTCATTCTCAATGACATTTAACAAGTGTTTCATAGTCCTATTATTGAACAATGCAGAGTTTTAGAATTTCCTCATTAATTATGCAAATTAGCTCCTGATTTGCATAATTATCATTTGATTATGTCAAGCATCACTTCAGCTACCTACATACCAAAAATCATGACAATCCGTCACCCGGTTCCTTAGTTATCATCCTTCAAAAAATTTTCAACAAATGCTCCTGCAGTTCCAGAACAAGCCGCTAGGGGGCCCAAACTTATGTCACTTCTTCCCTACCCCAAGAGCTATCTACCAACCAAAATTTGTGACCCTAGCATTTACAGATCGCGAGATATCAAAACCGGAAGTTCTGCTGCAATACCAACAGAAGCCGCCAGGGGACCCAAAATCTAATCATTTCTAGCTCTCATGAAGACCTACCCACCTACCAAGTTTCATGACAATGCATACTAAGCTTCTTGAGTTATGCTGTTCACAAACAGACAGACAGACAGACAGACGGACAAACGCTACTGAAAACATAACCTTCTTGGCGAAGGTAAAAAGATGTCTGACTGATACCTTCTCCACAGGCCATGCAGCTCCAGCAGCAGTTCGCTAACATGTAGCCTGGATTCTTGGAGCATTCCCCTCTCTTCATCCAGGCATCACAGTTCTTATTGTTGTCCAAACAGACTGAGAAGTGTGTGTTAAATCTAATATATCAAAGCTCATTCTTAGGTTGCCGTAACATTAGAATAAAAGTAACGATCAGGAATTGGGTCTTTAAAAAAAAAACACATGGTTTACAATAAAACAAAACTGTAAAACAAAGTATTTTGCAGAATCAGTCAGAAAACCGTGATATATATATATATATACAAATATTCCTACAAATCAGCTGCTACATAATATACCTACAAATGTACATACCTACATAATTTATATACATTATATATATAGAAATAGATAGATAGATAGATTCTATTAGATATAGATAGATATTATTATTACATATATATAGAGATACTAGCTATATATTGAGCAAGATAACTATAACTCTCTCTCTCTCTCTTATAAATTATTACATCTAGATCTATATTGTTATATTATATAATATATATCAACCCCATCTAGTATGTATGTGCGTATTCTGACAGCAAAAGAAGTATTACTACAACATCAATTTGAAAATGTTTGACCTATGCTGAATATGATGCTTACATTTTGGTCCACAAGCCCCACAGCTCCAGGTGCACTGTCTCAACATGTAGGCAGGGTTTTTGTCACACTCTCCAGCACACGACCAGGCATGGCACATTTTGTTCTTGTTAGTACATTGTCCTGAAAGGAAATACGTGAAGATTAAGGTGTCCTCTCTGACTAATTTGGCCTTTTAAAGTCCATCGTTTTCTCACAAAGAAATTTAGAAAGAACTGTAGTTGTACTGAATATTGATACCTGGGTACAAAAGGGTTATGAATATGATTTTATGGACCATATGGATGACGTCATCACATTTTATTTCCCCAAATGTAATTATCTTTAAAGTTATAATATAGCACTTTCAATTGGTTCAAGTAACTGAAATAGAAATATGATTTTCATGTGCATAATGGTCAAAGCTTAGACGTACTTTGCACAAATTGATATCTACTAATTAACTGTAGTTATTAGAGAATAACTAGATTTTAATTGGTCAATTAGGTTATTCTCTATGGTGAGAAAACGATGGAAACTTAAAATGCCAAATTAGCTAGGGAAGACACCTTAAGGTACTCCCATAGCCTTTTTGAGGCCGTAGGGGCAGTCATATATTATCAGTTGTTAATTCATTTTGTCAAAGGTACATGTATGGTATAGCAGAGACCAACCCTATCCTTCCACTGTCAGGTACCGAAGTCAGGTACTCATTTTTTGACCTGGATGGAGTGGGGAAAGTTGTGTAAAGTGCCTTTCCCATTGCACGGGCACAAGATTGGTGACTCAACAGGATTCCTGGGCCACAGTGGAAATAGCTAAACATTTAATGTAAGTATCAAAACAACATGGTATTAATCTCCATGAAAAATGCAGCTGTGTGTGTATATGTGTGTGTGTGTGTGTATGTGCGTGCGTGTCTGTGTGTGCGCGTGTGTGTGTGTGTGCGCGCGTGTGTGTTTGTGTGTGTGTATGTCAGGCTGGATGGATTGGTTACATGTGGTATGTTAGTACATCATTACAAAAACTGGAAACAGTTCATAAAGGCCTGTTTAAGTTATGTTGACTGCAAGTATGCAGAAGCGCAGACCAACACTCACACAGAGATAGACCAAAAACATCATGGAGGTAAAAACTGACCTCCACCCCTGAGCTCCTGGTATCTGTTTTTCAGGCTGTAAAAGCTGCGTTCCTGTAAATCAGACAAACATAAAACTCATTACTTGCGGGAACAGAAGCATTGTTTTGGGTGGCTGTGCTGTGGGTTTGTGGGTGTTTCTGCAGACAGCATAGAATGAGAGCAGTGTGGGTGGGAAAAGATTGACAGGCAGAATGGCAGGATGTAAAGGTCTTAGAACCTGGCCAACAGCCAGCATGAATTAGAGGTAGGCATAGTATAATCTCCAAGCAGATCTTTTTGTTGGGGTTGAGACAGTATCAAAATCATACACTTGTTACAATATTCAGTTACTGTATTTCTTATGATCACAATACTGTAAATCTTGAATTGTTTGCATGTGATGGCTTGATTATCACGGTTCTCATAGTACCTCCTTCTCCAGGTTATCCACTTCAGTTTGTAGGTCACCAATCACCTGCTCCTCCAGCTTATCCAGGGGGGTCTGTATTGGGTCAGGTCCCATGTCACCAGTCTGAGGAGCCTCCATACTGTACACTCCATCTGTACGGATTGAAGAATAGTCTCATGATGTCCAGGTACTTCTGGGTACTAATTCTTTTATCTGGCTAAGGCCACATGCACCAATTTAATTTCTTGGTTAACGGATATTTCTAGAAAAATAATGGAGCGGGCGGGCGAAAAAAAATAAAAATAAAAACAAGCCTAGGCATCCTATTATGGCCCAAAATGGTATGATAACTATAGGAGCCATGAAGTCAACACACCAGGCTGGTTCAAAATTTAAACAATGAATTTTGAACTTTTAATGATACCATTGCATTAAAAGATGGAATGACTGTAACAACTAGGAAGAAAAGAACTGTTTTCAACTGTTCAGGGCAAAATATGAGCATTTTGCAGTTGATTCTGAATGTTTTTTTTGGCAAATCAGAAAAAAATGAAGCGGGCGAATCCGTTAACCAAGAAATTAAATTGGTGTGGCCTAATAAGCAGTGTGTCCATTTGTCGAGACAGAGTAATGTTGACAGCATATCGGTGTGTGGATTAAAGATTAGATTATAGGCAGATTGTCAGCTCAAAAGGTCACAGGAAATGGGGTGACCTCAAGAGTAGGTTGACAGAACGTGGGTAGGAGATTGACAGGCAGAATGACAGTTCATACATTAAATGGAGACAATAAGGTCAGGAAAATACTTTTCAGAAGTCCAAAATGTCATTTTAATTTTTGTAACAGATAAACTTCAGTTTAAAGCGTTGCCGCTGTGAGCAAGTCCCCAAAACAGATCCCAGTTCTTACCAGTTCCCAGTTTGCTGAAGAGTATAATCAGCATAACTGCATACCTCTTGGTAGGAAAGGTTGACATTTTGCTAGGTTGGTGATCTGAAGTGAAGACAATACATATAACTGTTTAAGCATAATAGGGCTGAATATTGCAAAAATTGATCAATATTGGAATCAGAACTTCCATGGCCCCATAGACCTCCATCCAAACTAAACATAGAAATGCAAAATCAAAACATTAAATGCAAATATTTGACATGCAGCCACTCTATATTTACCTTTGCCAAGAGGGTTATGTATGTGGTTGTGTGTGTGTGTGTGTGTGTGTGTGTGTGTGTGTGTGTGTGTGTGTGTGTGTGTGTGTGTGTGTGTTAACAGCATAACTCGAAAAGGCATAGATGGACTATCTTCATCTTGTAAGTCACAGGATATAGGTCTTGATGAGAGCTCAAAATGATTAGATTTGGGGACCCCAGCTGGCATCTTGTTATGGTACTGCAGTGAAACTTCCAGTTTTAGTATCTCATGATCTTGACATGCTAGCGTCCTGAGTTTTGGATTGTTGTTAGCTCTGACTTGTGCTTAGGAAGCAGTGATGTAGAGCCCCCTATCTTCTTCTTTGGGAACTGCCATGGCGTTTGTGTGAAAACGTTTGAAGTAGGATAAGTCAAGAACAGGTTGACGGATTGTTGTCATGTTTAGTATGGAGGTAGCTTAAGTGATTCTCGACATAATTAGATGACAATTATGCAAATTAGATTCTGATTTACATAATTAATGATGAAATTCTAAAAATCTGCTGCATTCCATGACAGGACAATTCAAACTTGAGATTTGGGATTAAGAGGAAGAGGAACATTTACCAGATGTGAATTATGTAAATGGTGACCCAATTTGCATAATTTATGAAGAAGCTGATCAAGGAGGACTTAGGTCTGGGTGGTGTTGAATTGGGGTTGGTGGAAAAAGGAGTCCAGTCCGATTGGCAGAAAAAGCAGTCCAGTCCGATTTGGGGGTGGAAAAAGCAGTCCGGTGGTTTCTACAAAATTCTACGAAAGACCACAGGCACATTTTTTTCTTGTGTGTGTACTTCGAGTTTCAATGAGTACTTCGAGTTTCTAGTTCAGGATGAACTGAACTGAATGAGAAAATTCTATAACTCCATACTGGTATATTGCGGGAATTTCATACTTGCGACATTTCTACGTCAGGTGAACATGAACAGTCATCAAACATTCAAATAAATAAATAAATAAAATTCCAATCATCATAGATATTTTTATTGCTAAATGCAAATAATTATTAAGAGCCTTGTGTGCATGAATTACATGTATATCAGTTGATCATATTCTCCACCCATTTATGGAATTTCCTCATTGATTATGAAAATTTGATCCTGATGTGCATAATCTAATTATGTCAAGCTTTGATAAGCAACCTACATACCAAACATTGGATGATCCAGCAATATTTTTAGCAGTTCAGCAGTACTCTGCAAGGAGGCCTTGCCAGTCAATGCCCCCTTGTACATGTACATGACAAGAGAGTATTGACCCCTTCAGACTTCTGCCTAAAATCTAGGCACACTGCAAAATCTCCCCAAGGGCGTACATTGTCTCTGTTGTCTGCTCACATGAATATCATTTTCCAGACCAATGAAGGTTTTTCACAAATAATTATTGTTTTGCACCTTTGATAAAAGATTTTGACATGCAGTGAGGAGAGGACCCAGATATCAAATTGAGAATGAATAATTATTTGCCGCTCAACCACATTTTTTCATCGCTATCATGAGTTTTGTTGAATAGGTCATTTTTCAAGGACTGGTCATTGACCTATATACAGTCTAAGCCTTAGGGTAATGACTTTTTTTCGTCACTGTTTTTGTACCAATGGATTTACTTACAAAGCTCTGTTTCTCTGTTAAAATGTTACAAAAGACAAATTTTGCAACCTTGTAATTATTGCTGAACTGCTAAAATATCACATGTAATGTTATAACTAAGGGCTTGTGGTGAAAATAATACATAGGACTGGTTCATTCTTTTAAATGCCATCCAGATTGTTGATGTGTATGATAGTTAAAGCCTTAGGCAAGGGTAATTACTTATGATATGCTCTACTAACTTAAAGTAAGCTCTATTGAGAATTCCCCCTTTTTATAATGGGCTTACTCATAGACCTTTGCAGCGATCTTTTTAAATGTGCTTTAAGACAAATTGTGGAATCTTGCAAAGTTTTGTAAATTTCTCCCAGTGCTGAAAATGAGGTAAAATAAGACCGGCACAACTTCCAAATCAAAAGAGAACATTCAAGACCAGAAAAACCTGCATGAAAATTGTGTTAATTTTATAGGTGGCTTGACTTCTGAAGTTCAGTACATTGTATTGTACTGAGAATTTCACCTATTGATACGAAATCAAGTTTTGACTTAAGTTGTGCCCAGTTCATGAACTTTCATGAACTGAAAAAATGACAGAAAAGGTACCTGGGTGTTTCAAAATCTTCATGAACTGTAACATCAAGTCTGATGATTCCACAGTATAACAAAAGTTGACTTTCTTAATACCAACTTTAATTTGAAATTGATTAAAGTACGTACTTTTGGTCCAAGGGTTTAACACCACCATTTGGAATTTCAAGGTCGCCCTAGCTTAGCTGTCTGAATTTGGCAAGTAAGTAGCAGTATAAGTGCCGGCTATGTATTAGAATCACTCACTCTCACTCACTAGGTATCAAAATGCATAAAGTTAAAGTTATGAAATGTTATTTACATGGAGACTGTAACTTACCAATTGCCAGTAGTAGGGGATGATGGTGGCAGAGACAGGTCCGGAGGTGTGCGGCCGCGCTGCTGTCTGGGCTCTAGTGCTTGTGGCGCACCAGATGAGCGTTACCTGTTCAACTGGTCCTCTGGTTACCATGGTGATGTCACGTCACTAGCAGGACCGAATCTGTCACTCAAACTCGATTCTTTCACACAATTCATGATTTTGTAATTCATTTATAATGTATGGAAGGTGAGTGTGAGTGAGTGGAAAGGTTGGACTACATGTGGATTTTGTGTGGGATCGTGTGGCGCAGTCGGTAGCAAGTTCGGCTCACACCCAAGAGGTCGCAGGTTTAAATCCTGCAAAAGTCACCGATCTTGTGCCCTTGGGAAAGGCACTTAAAATGACTTCCTCACTCAGGTGGAAATGAGTACCTAGCTTCGGTTAGGGACGTCCCTTGGATAGGACGTTAAATGGAGGTCCCGTGTTTGGGAGAGCCACACCCCACGTTAAAGAACCCACCACACTTCAAGTGAGTGGTTCAAACCTTACAGTCCGGTCTTACGCAGCTTGTACATGTACGTACATGTACAAAACTGGTGTGTTTTGCCTAAAGGGGGTTTACCGGTTATGCGAAACATACAAACAAACAAACCTAGTCCACACATACCCCTACCTAATGGGGGTAAATTTGAAGACCATTGATCATTTAAAGAAATACATGTACATCAGCAAATGTGGATATGTCTGCATTACCTCTATGTGTGGGGAAAATTATAATTACATGACATAATTTCTAGGAGTGAAAATTGTATGTTGTACAAGTCAAGTACTATTTATGTCTGGAAATTATGTGTTTATATTTCTTGATAATTTACAGTATGACTTAAATCAAAATTGTTGAAGTCAATCACTTTATTGTAGCAATCTGGCAGAATTTCAACATTGTTCCATCTGTAGTATTTAGCAACTCAACTGTACTGAAGCGCCAACTAGTAATCCATGGTAATACTGCAGGCTGCAATCTGTACACAAACCTGTCCATGGTACTGAACACACCATCTACACATATATACAGGACACTGGTGCACAACATAATCTGTACAGAACCCTGTCCATGGTGCTAAATCCAAAATCAACAAAAGCAAACAGGACACTAGGAGTGCACAACAGCTGAACACATCATACACAAAAATAATGACACTGGTGCTATACACAAATATGTCCATGGTTCTCAACACACCATCTACATACATAAACATACCGGACACTGGTGCACAATACAATAGACCAATCCCACAGCCACTCCCCCCCTTTACCAACGCCCTAACAACTCAAACTTCTTGGGCAAAATCAGCATGGGAAGGGCCACGCAGGCTGCCGACAGTATATCAGTTATACCGTCGAACATTAGGGTCAAGTTTTCGGCAGCAACAAACTCTCTCAGCAGCTCCCAAAAAGGGTTGCGCTTTGTTGAAGGACA